TAAGATATCCTTCACTCTTAACTTTTAATTTGACAATATTCTATAGGATCGAATTCTAAACAAGAATTCAAGAGTCAGTTCCATACGCTGAGTCAGAAAAAGTAAGTTTGATAAGTAACATGATGTTCACAATGAAACAGAATGAAACTTTGTTACTTTTTCGGTCGAACCATTTTAGTGCTCGAATTTCTAATAAAAGATTTAACTTATATTTTCTCTGCAGATGTAAAAATATTCTGTTCTGGTATACACGAACACAACATGGTGTTTCACTTATTTTTTCTCATAAGCCGCGAGATTATGATTGAGAAATATGATATATATTTGAATATTGGCCGGCAATTCGAACTTCAAGTAAACATTTCTGATTAATTCATACAAGGGTGGATAGAGTTTAATGAGCTGAGTAAGAAAAAATGGCTTTTAACTTTTGAAGCGGCCGAAATATTTGAATTGAAGTATTGAAATACTTGAAGTACCAGTTCTTTTTCTTACTCAGTCTATTAAGCTCTATCCAAACTTGTATGAATTAATCAGAACCTTTTAACTTGAAATTCGAATTCACGGCACCTTACAATGAAATCAGTCTTGTTTTTCCCTTTAATAGAAATGAAAATCTCATTAATTTTCGTTAGTATTTTATTGATAATTAGTTACGTACACAGTAGTTCTGCAATTTCATGTACATTAGAACAAGAAGGTGAACTATTGACAAATCCAGATGATAACAATTCATTTTATCAATGTACAAATGGAAATATGGTTTTTCAAAAGTGTCCATCAACTCTTGTTTGGGTTCAGTATTATAAACGATGTGATTGGAAAGAACCAGAAGGTATCGTATAGACACACATATTAATTTAAACTTTATTTACTTAAAGAAAGAACACACCAGTGCGTACCGAAGTAGACTATACATTATAAGCATTTTTCAGTGATTTGGAAAAGAAAAAAAGAATGGAAGGAGAAAAGGAAAAAGGAAAGATATCATGAACTAATAATAATAGATAAGAGATGAATCGTTTAGAAGTAAAACTTTCGATGTTATAATTGTAATTA